TGGGTTCACTAATGTAGCTGCTGGAAGAAGTGGCTGTTCTGAAGAAGATGGAATTGCTCCACAGCTCATGCTTTCTTGAAATCTATTGATCCTATAGTAAGTCGGACAATGATCAATCACTTTTGGTTTTTTGCCGCATCTCAAGAACATGATACCCTCTCAAATCGACGATGTGTCTAAAAGCCAACAATTACAAATCCATCACTTCCTTTCAATCATGTGACCACCACTATATCCACAGGACCACAGGACATCATGTAGACTGAAAGATAGTGATGAATTTACTGAAAAAAGTGATGCAGCCATTGAAAGATTTTTATCAACGCTCTCTGCTCATTGTCTTTCTGATATACATCATGTAGCCAGCCACATGACATTATTAACTCAATGAGGATTCTGACATTAATTGAAAAAGTTTTTGTTGAAACGATTTGAGTGTGGACGAGATTGCATGGCAGTTATAGTGGACAAATCGAAGTCGATTGAACATGATGAAAAGTTTGATGTGCTGCGTGAGTATCTCACGATTGAGAGATGTAACAATTTGTTTCGAGGAGTTAAGTAAGGAAACCAGCATTGGGATTTCCATCATCGATGATATTTTTTTAACAAGAAGAAGTATAGGAAGGAACAAAGCGCAGAAAACGTGGTTCAAAGTACTGGAATGAGACTTGAAAGCATTTAGCATCTAACCTATTTTACGAATCAGTTTGTGGCTTCTCACTAGGAAACATGAGCTGTGCAACCCTTTATTAAGTTGAACGGCTTCGTTACGACGGCCATTCATGAGGGTCAAGAGCCAGATGCGTATACTGTTGCTGTTGCTGTTCCTATCACGCTTGTCAGCACATTTTCACTGCGTCTCTAAGCGTCGTAGCTGGTCGCAAACAAGACAACTCTTTCGGAAAGGGTTGGGAGTATTGGCGCACAGGAAATCTAACGAGTGGCGACCAAGAGCGCGTACTGGGTGCTTGCGATAAAGTTCGTTATGCTGTGTGCAATTTATCGGGTATGGCTGCGACGACCGTCGTGATGCACCTTGTAAAACACGGGCATTGATAAAGTGCTTTTGTATAAAGATCTAAATATTTTTTCATCCCAACATCACATTGTTTATTATTTTATTTTTCTACCAATTATATTACCCTGCATTCGTTTACCAGTCATCAAATCAGTCTACATTGATATGCGAGTCCTCATAGGTGATGAGACCGGTTTACTCAAGTCTATTGAACTTGAGAAGAACGAACAGTGCATCCTATCAGGTCTCGACCACCCACAAGCACGATCTCGAGGTATTCAGCGATTATGTTGGTGCGCAGACGAGTACAAGACCGTCGATTCTCAACGCAATGTGGTGCTGGCACGCGCTGACGGTGTCGTAGAGAGTTACGAGGCCTCTCACAACAATAATATTAGCAACACTAGAAATCCAGTTTGGTCTTGGCCAGCTCCAGAGAAAACTCAAAGAATGGCACGGTGCGTAGGAATAGACTTCATACAAAAGTCTAGCTCTATAGTGCAGTGCTCCGACACAGGTGATGTGCTAGTTCGCAGCATATTGGAGAGAGATAATCCATTATCATTTAATGTTGGCGGTGGACTACACATGATGCGTCTTGAACCTGTAGCGCAATCTTGTATTGGTGTCGGCGGTAAGGAGCATGACCTGAATTTGTGGTCATTAGAGACCCAGCAAGTTCTGTTTAAAGCCAAAAATGTAACACATGACAAGCTAGACATGCGTGTACCCGTTTGGATCAAAGACTTGCGTTTTTTATCTTCTGGTACAAGCAATGGCCACCGCGTTATTGTCGGCACTGCTTACTGTCAAATTCGAATCTACGACTCAAACACAAAGCGAAGACCAGTACAACAGCTTGATAATTTCGGAGAAAATCCGATTCAATCGCTTTGCATATCACCAGATGAGACTCAAGTGTATATCGGAGATACAGCAGGAAACTTGGACATTTTGGACTTACGTACTTTGAAGCATATGGGCCGATGCACAGGACCAGTCGGATCCATTCGGGATATTGCGTGCCACCCGACGCTTCCATACATTGCAGCAGTTGGCCTTGATCGTATGGTACACGTTTTTGATGTCAATACACGCAAGTACAGGCACACATTCTATGCAAAGCAACGGTTGAACACAGTATTGTTTTGTGCGGACGGTCTAAAAGATCTTCCTGAGGGTGATGAGCCGTCAAAGAAGAGACTAAAGTCGGGTGGCGATGATTTGTCACTTGATGATGATGATGACGATGACATGGAAGAGGAAGTGTATGAAGGTTTGGAGATTAGTGAGGAAGACGATGAAGATGACAACGATGATAACGACCTCACAAGAGACGATAGCGAATAAATCGGCCGCGCGTTTCAAATGTGTACATTTTCTTAGAACTAGAGTAACAGTTGAACCTATAAGTACATAACTGTTTGGGTGTCTAGTAACTCTTAGGTATCAATATAGTGGTCAAAGAAATGGTCGTCACGAAGGGATTGCTTAACATTTGGCAGTTGTTAATGATCGGCTGTCATGTTACGTGTCATGTGCTTTTAAAACGACACAAGTGTTAATTTGAATACCAACGTACTTTACCTGTCGCGTATTCTTCATTATCGAAGCTAACATCTCGCAGGTCTGTTCTAATTTTCTGCTTCGACACGATCAAAGACGATGATCATCTCGCAGTGTGGCGTATGTGGAAACATGTCGACTGGGACAGCGTATACAGGTTTGAAAGCCTGGCCTTGGATCGATTTAGTATTAGGACCGCACAACGTCACGGCATCTCGTATCAATGAGTTAGTCGGATTACATGATACGTAAACGATTCGCTCAACAGGTGCACAAGCGCGCAAGGCACGCAACACTTGGTGATGAAGTCCAGCACGCGGCGGGTCCACAATAGCTACAACACGATCAAGCTGCTGTTTATTCTCACCGCGCTTTTGTTGCAATAAATTTTTCATAACCATCTCAGCTTTTGAGTTGACAAAGCTCACGTTTTTGACATTGTTAAGCTCTGCATTTACTTCCGCATCGTCCGTTGCAGGTTTACAAGTCTCAATTCCCACAATCTCGCCTACTCCTTGTGACAAACAAATCCCGATCGTACCTGTACCACAACATACGTCATACAACATTGTATGTTCGTTTGCGTTTGCATGTTGTTTTACCAGCGTGTACAATTTTTCTGCGCCAAGCGTGTTGACTTGAAAAAAAGCATTTGGCGAGATCGAGAAGCGCATGCCAAGTAAATGTTCCTCGAGCTTTGTCTTGCCAAATACGTGTTCAACTGAATCATTGTCCGAGGGAGCCGATAAACCCTCGTATTCTTGCACATAGATCGATGTGATTCGAAAGGAATTTTCTTCGTCCGTCAATCGCTTTACTATTAATTCTTTTACCGCAGCCCGTTCTTCCAGAGTCTTTTGAGCCGGATTTACCTGAACAATGACCATCAATTCTTCTGTATTGATACTCTGACGCACTGTCAGCACGCGCCATACACCTGTTTTGGTATGAACATCATACACAGGAACACCAGATGTTTCTAAAATGACCTGCATCACCGCACACACCGCTTTCATATCCTTGGACACGTTAATGCACTCGTCAGGTTTACTGACAACCACAGATCCTTCACGAAAGAGACCAAGACGAAAGCCGACGCATGGTTTATTGTTTTTGTCAAAACCAAAACTGAATTCGCATTTGTTTCGGTAGCCTTCCGTCACGGGCGACGCGTGAATTGAGTCCATGGGGCAGCACAGCCCATTATGACTGGTGAATCCCGTAAACATTGCATCTTTCACTTCATGTGTCATCGGTATAGAAGCCTGAACTGTGCCATCTTCTTCCACATACTCTATACTATTGAGTGTAAGAAGAATCAGCAATCTATTGTGTGAAGTTATACCAAGCGCTCTTGGCATTGTCGCATTAAACGGCTCAAATGTTAGCGCATTAAGCGCAGTTGCGTCAAGCGAAGCGCGCCACCAGGGCACAGCACAGTTTGAATCCTTGTTGTGAGCGTATAAAAACCCATTGTGAAGTCCGATAACGGACACGCCAGGTGCTTCGCCTAGCTGCGTCCACTTTCCCGCTGCAAAGCGACCTGTTCCCTCCTGCTTGTAAATTTTCCCATCCCCAGTGCATCCTATTAATGTTCCACGTAACGACGCGAGTGAAGAGAGAGCATATCCTTCAGGTCCGCTGCAAAGCTTTTCCCAATTGAAACTATCCGGTTGTGACAGTCTCGTCTTTAGCGCATAAATGGTGTTGTCGGTCTTGACTGCAACCAGTTCACTTCCGAACGAAACGATCGCTACAATATTCTCAGCATTAGCTACATAATGCCACGTCGTCTCAGCATCAGCTTCAAGCGTACGTGTGTACAGGTGATCATTGGCTACAATATATAACGATCCGTTGCTAGTAAGCCAATTTGGAATTTTCAACGAGTACTGTGGTTTTGAATTATCCATAAAAACATTCAAAGGCTTCTCTTGTGTCTCCTTGATCTGTTCATCTTCAAGTTTACGCTTTTTGCTAACATTGCAATTTTTAGCCACGCGCTTCTCTTTCTTGCCATATTCCTTCCGAGTCTGTCGTACAATCTTGACCAGCACCTTTTTCATCTCCACCTCTTTACGTTCCAATTGAGCGTCATACGGAACATCTGCCCATGGTGTGACCACGTCACGTATATCACGTTCTGATACGTCTTCTTGCTGTTCTTTGGGTGCCTCCTGTTCCTTCAAGCAGCGCTTATAGCTCTGACGCGCAAGTTTCATACTCTTCTTGACTAGAACGTCTTTGACCTCTAAAAGTTCACCATTCCATTCGATAGTCTCCAGCTTTGGTATTGCCTCAGCGCGCTCTTCTTTTGAATGAAAATGCACAAACCCGAACGAAAGCTGTCGAGACTTTTGCACTTTTTTAAACGACACTCCTCGTTGATGCAATAGCTCGGTCAACGTCTTTGCATCCTTCCATTTTCCATAATTCATGATGATAACCTTTATATCGTTCTCTTCCATTTGCGCGCCATCTACCGGAGATTCCATCACTGTTGATATCTGCATCTCGTCCGTGTTGTCCGATCCAGTCAATTAATTATTACTATTACGATGTTTTCACACAATCTACTATTTTAATTTTCATCAGCATTTTCAATATAAAATTACTTTTCCAGAAAAATGTCTTACAATTTTTTTTATTTTACACGAAAGCAGAAATTTAAATTTGTAAACTACTGTCACCATACCGCACCAATACCATTTTGGATAAAGCGTAATTTCATGTTGATATCTTCAGACATGGAAAAATCACCTTTTCAGCGACATCAGTTATGTCTGTTAATCTACTTAGTGATACCCATGGATTTTGAAAGTAAGAGAACATGAACGTATTGTTCACAACTAGAAGCAGATTGTGACTCTTCGCAAAATTGGCTACAGCCTGGATGTCCGTGATTTTGACCGTCAGGTCCGTCGGGGTCTCAATCCAAATAAGTTTCGTCTTGCCAAAACGCTAGAGTTTCTCTACATCATCCAAATCACCCATGTCTATCAATATTGTACGTATGTCGAACAGTCTGGCGAAAATACCGTTGAGTACCACCATAGACGTCATCAATGCCCATGCTTTAGTAGGTGCATCACGACAGTCATGGCAGCCGTAGCCGATTATAGCACGCAGCATAACGAACTTTTTCGCAAACAGCCAGTGCGCGTTCCTGGTTGCCAGTCGTTAGATTTCCTGTGCGCGAATACTCTCAACCCTTTCCGAAAGAGTTGTCTTGTTTGTGACCAGCTACGACGCCTGGAGACGCCTGTGCAGATGTGCTGGAAACAGCAACAGCGCCAGTAAATGCATCTTGCTCCTTACCCAAAGTTGTTCGACGAAAACAAGGGTTGCACTGCTCATGTTTCCTAGTGAGCAGCCACGAACTGATTTTGTAAGATAATGATTGGATGGCTTTTAAGTCATGTCGATAGTTTGACGGTTTAGTCCACAACCAAAATTCATCCTATTAATTAATCGACTTGAAAAATCTTTATCATTAGATCGGTATTCGTTACACGTGATAGAAAATGGTTGAAAAGTTTTAGATACCAAATGCTTTCAAGTCTCATTCCAGTACTTAGACGCACATCTTCTGCGCTTTGTTCCTCCGTATACTTCTTCTTGTTCAAAAATATCATCGATGATGGAAATTCCAATGCTGGTCCATTTACTTAACTCCTCGAAACAAATTGTTGCATCTCTCGATCGTGAGTTACTCACGCAGCACATCAAACTTCTCATCATGTTCAATCCTTCTAAGTTAATTATTCGATTTGTCCTCTATAACTGCCGTGCAATCTCGTCCAAACTCAGATCGCTTCAACGAAAACTTTTTCACTAAATGTCAAAATCCTAACAAATTTTTATTGAGTTAATGATGTCATGTGGCTGGCGACATGATTTATATCTGAAAGACAATGAGCAGAGAGCGGTGATAAAAATCTTTCAATGGTTGAATCACTTTTTTCAATAGATACATCACTATCTTTCAATCTGCATGGCATCCTGTGGAAATAGTGTCACATGATTGAAGCGAGGTGATAGATTTGTAATCGTTGGCTTTTGGTCACATCGTCGATTTGAGAGGGTATCATGTTCTTGAGATGCGGCAAAAAACAAAAGTGATTGATCATTGTCCGAGTTACAATCGGGTCAAGAGTTCAAGAAAGCATGAGCAATGGAAGACTTCCTTCATCTTCAAAACTGCCACTTCCGCCAGCTACTATACCAGTGGACCCAGAGAATATAGTCGAAGTATTTGTCGCTGACTATAATGGCCTGGCTTTACCAGTCTATGTTCCAGTAGGGACTAATCTGGTGGATCTGTTAGATGCCGCATTCGAAAGACCAACTTTTGGGAAAGGAAGTTTTCTAGGCTTTGAAGATGTGAATTTGCGGTTGGATGATCCTGTGACGGCAGCCGATGCAACAAGATGGACGGCCGATGAACCACTCCGATTGAAATTCAAGGTAAGAACAAGCATCTATTAGTGTAACGTACCTATTGACATCTTCTATATTGTGGATAGAGAGACTGTTGATTAGAGGAAGGCAAATGCCAAAGTGAATTAGTTAGCAGCTACACAATCTAC